GGGGGGGGGGGGGGGGGGGGGGGGCAGTCGATTGGTGTGCGGCGATGCTCGAGTGCGCGGCTGCTGACGTCGCGGCATGCCCCACCTGGAACGCCGCAACGCAGCTGCTCAACGTGCAAGTGCCCTTCTTTTTCAAATCCATCGTCGATGGCCTATCGGAGCTGTCTAGCACGCCTCTGGACATGTCCAACCCGCACACCGTATGGGCCGTGGCAGGAGCGAGCATTTTGGGCTGTGAGTCGGATACGCAAGCACTTTGCTAACGCCGAGCTCCGTGCACGTCGAGCTCCGTGAACGCCCAGCTCCTTGCACGTCGAGCTCCGTGAACGCCGCGCTGATTCGTGCACGCACGCTCGCACGCTCGCACACACGCACACACGCACTTGCCCCCCACAGATGGACTGGCCCGCATAGGTTCGGCGGCATTCTCGGAGCTGCGGAATGCAGTGTTTGCCAACGTGGCTCAGCGGTCCATTCGAAGCGTTGCGAGATCCGTCTTTACCAGGTTGCTGTCCCTCGACCTGTCTTGGCACCTGTCCAGACAGACCGGCGGGCTGACCCGCGCCATAGACAGGGGAACAAAGGGAATCTCCTTTTTGCTCACTTCCCTCGTCTTTCACATTGTCCCAACCGCGCTGGAGATCAGCTTGGTGTGCGGCATTCTCAGCTACAAGTGCGGTCCCAGCTTTGCTGCAGTCACCGCCCTCACCATGGCTGCGTATGCCGCCTTTACCATCAAGACGACGAGCTGGAGGACAAAGTTTAGAAAGGAAGCCAACGAGGCCGACAATAGGGGAGCCAGCACCAGCTTGGATTCTCTGCTCAATTACGAGAGCGTCAAGGTGAGCGGCGCGGATGGATAGGCAACGAATGCCTCTCGCATCTCACAGCCGCGCCCGCGAACCACCCGCAGTACTTTAACAATGAGACGCACGAGATTCAAAAGTACGACAAGGCGCTAAAGGAGTACGAAAAGTCGAGCGTCAAGGTCGCCACGTCGTTGGCCGCACTCAACACTGGCCAAAACTTCATCTTTAGCTCGGCGCTCACGCTCATGATGCTATTGGCAGCTCAAGGGGTTGTAAAGGGTGCGTGGCGGGTTCCTTCTCGTGTTTAGCCGCGCCCTCGCTCATGCCGACGCGACGCGACGCAGGGACCATGACTGTGGGCGATTTGGTGCTCGTCAACCAGCTCGTCTTTCAGCTCAGCCTTCCGCTCAACTTTTTGGGCACCGTCTACCGCGAGCTGAGGCAGAGTCTGATCGATATGGAGGCCATGTTCAACCTGGAGGCCGTAAAAGTCAGCGTGCAAGTGAGTGTGCGCGTGGGTGTGCGCGTGGGACGGTGCTGCAGACCTGCCTAACGCGTCCTACGCGTCCTACGCGTCCTACGCGTCCTCATCGACAGGATGAAAGCGACGCGCCCCCCTTGAAAGTGTCCAAGGGCGAAATCGTTTTCGAAAACGTGACGTTTGGATATCATCCTTCCAGGCCAATCTTTAAGAATTGCTCCTTTACCATCCCTGCCGGACTGCGAACAGCCATCGTTGGGCCCAGCGGGTGCGGCAAATCTACCGTATTTCGACTCCTCTTTAGATTCTACGAACCGCAGAGTGGGCGCATCCTGATCGACGGTCAAGACATTCGAAAAGTCAGCCTGGAGAGCCTGAGAAAGGCAGTCGGCGTTGTTCCGCAAGACACGGCGCTGTTCAATGGAAATATTATGGATAATGTCAGGTACGGCAATCTCGAAGCGTCGGACGAGCAAGTTGCAGAAGCGATGAGGAGAGCCAAGGTGGATCGCATCGTCCAGACTCTTCCCGATGGATACGACACCAAAGTTGGAGAGCGCGGCTTGATGATCAGTGGCGGCGAAAAGCAGAGATTAGCGATCGCTAGGCTGTTCTTGAAGAATCCAGACATTCTCTTTTTGGACGAGGCGGTGCGTGTGAAGCGTGCCGTGCGGCTGGCTGCTTGCGGAATGCTGACCCGGAGAAGGCCTCCTCCTCGACAGACGTCTGCGCTAGACACCTTTACAGAAGCTTCACTCATGCGCGACTTGAATTCGACACTGTTGAACACCAATCGGACGGCGATTTTCGGTGCGTGTGGCGGGGCGCCGCTAGAAATGCCGCCGGGAGAAACGTCGCCGGGAGAAATGCCGCCGCTGACATTCCCCCGCTCATTCGCAGTCGCACACCGCCTGCGGACCATTTCCGACTCTGACCTGATCATCGTGCTGAGGGATGGAGTGGTGGAGCAGCAAGGCAAGCACGATGAGCTGCTCGCCCAATCCAACTCCCTCTATGGTGACCTCTGGGAGTCTCAATCCACCGTTGGTGAGGCGAATTCCACACGTCGTAGGCGTGTACGCGCGCGCTAACCGAACCTCTTTGCGCAGGCATGGGGCATGGTGCGGGAGAAGGAGAAAGCCGAGGCGCCAAAGTGGACTAGTTGCGGCGCCGTGTGTGCAAATGTCTATCGCGAGGGGAAAGCCGAGGCGCCAAAGTGGACTAGTTGCGGCGCGAATAGATGCGGCCGCCGTGTGTGCAAATGTCTATCGCTCGCGGCCAGCATATCCGTCCCGATCCTGCCGACTTGACGACCAATCCGCATCTCGCCTGTCTGACCCGTATCGTCCGTCCTCATCGCGTGAATACCTCTCGCGGTCTCCTTTGCGCTCTCTCGAATGTCTCTCGCGGTCATACTCGTCTCGATGGCGAGACGAGCGAGCTTCGCTGCGTCGACTGTCGTGTCGCGCGTCATTGCGATCTCCCAACGACACGATGCCTTGCCGCGAGCGCGAGCCCTCCTCTGCACTCCTCTTGACGACGGGCATGTACCTGTTGTCGGGCCGAGACGGTCGTTTGGCGTCCTTGCTGCGCGAGGTGCCGCTCGCACCGCTCGCACCGCTCGTGCCGCTCGCTTCTTTGCGTTCCTTGGCACCTAGACCGAGCAGTGCGGGTCTCTTTTTGACTTGTTCGGAAGTGGTAGGACCCTGCCTGTTCCTGCCTGCACCTTGCCCTTCCCTCCAGCCCATGCCTCTCAGCATCGCTGCGCCAAATTCCGAGATGGGCAGCGCCGCGTACTCTTCCACCGTAGGCGCATCCGGCCGATTGGCAGCGTCGGCTTGCGTGAGCGCAGTCTCGTCCATCTCGATGACCCGCTCAGTGTCGCGACCGCGACCTCCACTGCTGCTGCTGACGTCTCCCGCGAGCAGAGCTGCGCGAGCTTCCGCATCGTCGTCTGTGGGCGTGTCACCGGCTTTGGATGCGGATGGTGTGGTATGCCTAGCAGCAGCTTGCAAAGCGGCCATCTCTGCTTCTTCTTCCGCGTGCGTGCGTTCGCTTGGAGCTGCAGGCGCGACACGCCTCATGCTCATCAAGCCAGGAGTGAGGGTGCTGCTGCCGTCGCCGTCGCCGATGCGGCTCTGGTTTGCGCTACCGCCGCGCTCGCCATCTCCATCTCGCCCTTGCATGCTGACCAGACGTCCGAGCTGAGCAGCGTGCCTGCCCAGATTCAACCTGCGCTTCCTCTCTGCCATCCAATCACCGTCGCGCGTGAGTGGAATGACCTTTGGGGCATTTTCTGTGCGCGACCGTTTGCGTGCTGGCTCTGCGCCGGTCGCGGAGGAGAAGGCGACGACATGTTCGTCGTTGCGCGAGCTGAGAGTCGAGGCAAAGTCCTCCTCGTCTTTGTCCTCCTCGTGACCAAAGGCTCGTGCGGGCATGGCGAGTGCGCGGGTGCGTGCGTGCGTGCGTGCGTGCGTGTATGCGTGCGTGCGTGCGTGCGTGCGTGCGTGCGTGCGCGAGCAGAGCGTATGGGGTGTATGCGTGTGTGCGACGTGGTGGTGGTGGAGAAGATGTGGGCGGCGCGACTGCGCGGGGCGACTGCGCGCGACTGCTGCGCTCAGCTGCCGAGCTCGACATTCGCGTGATTCGTGATTTGATGATCACTCGCGCGCGCTCGCGCACGCGCGCCAGCCCCACTCCCAATCATCACACTTTGCTCCTCATCCACCACCCATCGCGAATCGTGAATCTCGCCCGTCCACCAACGTCGTCGTCTCGATACGCGCGCGCCGACAGCCTGGTCATCGCAACCGCCGCCACACCGCGCACCGCGCACCCAGCATGTCAGAGTTTGCAAAGGACTCGCTCTCGCTGCAGGAGACCAACAAGCTTCGCATCTCGCTCGGCTTGAAACCGCTGACAGAGGATTCGGACGATGAGGCTGGCTCTGGCGACGCCTTGCAGGGTCAAGAGGAGCGCGCAGAGGAGAATTACAGAAAGCGGCAGCAAGAGCAGAAGAGGCAGCGAGAGCAAGATGAGGTCAAGGAGCGCATAGCCAAGGCTCGCAATCGTCGCGAATTGGCTCGCAAGCTGCAGGGACCTACGCTGGGCGATGGCGATGGCGATGGAAGCGCTGGGAGCAGCAGCACGACGCTCAAGTGGCTCAAGGCGTCTCAGAAGCGCGCCAAGGAGATTGCAGCTCGTAGGGCCAAGGAGCTGGAAGAGCAGGACGCTGCTGCACTGGATGCCTATGGTTCGGCAGATCTGGCAGGGCTGCGAGTAGCGCACAATGTCGACGAGATGGGACTGAGTGTGGGCGGGGATGGCAGGGTGCTGACGTTGAGGGATGCAGATGTGCTGGACGGCCAAGAGGATGAGCTGATGGATGTGGCGGCGGATCAAAAGGAGCTGGACAGGCTGAATGCGCAGCGCAGAAAAGGCGCCAAGGGATACACTGGTCTCGATGACGACGATTTCGATGCGCCGCCTGGTCAGAAGCGCGGCGTTTTGTCCAAGTACGATGCGGATCTGGGTCCAGACGATCAACCAAAGCGCGGTGGCGGTGGCGGTGGCGATGGCGGTGGCTTCAGGTTGGGAGAGGATCACGCGCCCAAGCAGGAAGCAGACGAGGAGCGCAAGAGGGAAGCTGCTCGGCTGCTCAATCGCACGATGCTCGACTTGAATTACGACAAGAATCAAGAGGTGTCGGATTATCTCCAAGAAGGCGATGCTGGCTTCAAACGGCCAAAGAGCAGAAAGAAGCGGCGCACTGCGAGGGTAAAGCTGGAAGACGGTGAGGGCGGCGAGGGCGGCGAGGGCGGCGGCGCGGCGAAGCTGGAAGACGGTGAGGTGCTGGCTGCTGCAGATGCGACAGCCTCCGATTTCAAGCCTCGCGAAATCTCCACTGAGAATTTTGTAGACGATGATGAGCTCGCTGCTAGCTTGGCCAAGGAACGTCGTAACAAGGCCAAGCGAACGATTACCAAGATGACGCCGGAAGAGATTGCAAGGAATCGTGAGTTGAGCGGTGTGCGGGGGACGCGAGGCGAGGCGCACGCGAGTGCGCAGAGCGACGCGACTGATGTCCCCCTTGTCGTTGCAGTCGCCGCCCAGGAAGCAGCCGAGTCTAACGACAACGGCAACGACAACGGCAACGGCAGCAGTCCCGCAAACCCGGCGAAAGCAGAAGCGACAGACGGCCTGACGTTTGACGACACGTCCGAGTTTGTGCGCAACATTCAACAAAGACCTGCCTCACCTCGACCAGCTGCCAGGCGAAGCAGCGCTCGCGGCGGCGCTCGCGCTGCTTCGCCTGTGCGCAGTCCCGAGGCGACCACTCTAGCGCCTACGCCCTCTGCACACGCGGATGACGTCGAGGACGTCGACATGTCTCATTTGGACGATTTGCCCATTCCACAAAAAGAAGGATCCAACGATGCGCCCGAATTTGGCGCGCCCGAGCAGTACGTATCCAGCGGCATGGCAGCCACGCTGGCAATGCTTCGAAACCAGGGCATGCTGCAAGCTCGCTCTGCTGAAGAGATGCAACGCGAGCAAGCGCAAAAGGAGTACGATGCTTGGATGGCCAAGAGGCGCGCCGAGGATCGTGTGCGCCAGGCGGAGCGAGAGATGAGCAAAGCGCAGGGAGCGGCAAAGGACCAAGCAACGCGAGAGTACGAGAATCGCATGCGGGAGCTCGAAGATGCTCGACAGGCTCAAGACAAGTTTAGAGATTACAAGCCAGACATTAAGATTGAGTACCACGACGAGCACGGACGGGTGCTGGGCACAAGAGAAGCGTGGAAAAACCTCTCTCATACATTTCACGGCAAGATGCCAGGCAAGAAGCGTCAAGAGTTGAATTTGAAGCGCATCGAAGAGGAGCGAAAGAGGGAAAAAATGACTGCTGGGGATACACCCACCGGTATGAGCGGAGCCTTTGCTGCCAGAGCAGAGCGTGCTGGTCAGGCTCACATGGTGATTGGTGTCGGATCGCGCAACAATGCGCCTCAAGAGTTGGAACTGCTCGGGCCAAACATTGCAAAGCCGAGCGCGAGCGCGGGCGCGGGCGCGGGTGCGGGCGCGGGTGCAAGTGTTGGAAAGGGCAAGAGTCGTCGAAGCAATGCGCCCACTCCCCTCGGAGCGGAGCGTGATGGCCGGTCCGCTTCTGCGACGCCCGCGCCTGATCTCTCTGGCACGACGTCGATGGTACCTCGAGCTGCTCAGATGAAGCCAGCTTTTGCGCCCGTCAAGGCGAAACCGGTGCCGAGCTCAGCGTCATCATCGACGTCGTCGAACGCGACGCAGGGATCGCGCTTCAAGCTCGCGTTTGGGAAGCGCGCCAGCGATGAAGCGCACCAGCGATGAAGCGCACGAACGATGATGGAGCAGATCACGAGGGCGGGTGAGCGGGTGAGCGGGTGAGCGGGTGTACAACGATCGTCAGAGATGCAAGACGCGATTACAATCGACGCGAGCGAAATGCGATGCGATTACATGTTGCGGCAATACATTGTCTCGGCGGTCTGTGAGGACGGCGCTCGCTCGAACGGCGCTCGCTCGGACGGCGCTTCTTGCTCGTTGCGTCGAGCGCACATCTAGTCGTCGTACAGGACGAGTTGGGGAAGCTTGCCGTAGTCCTTGTTTGTGGCGATCGCAATGTCGCCCTGAAAGGCGATGCTTCTTCTAGCAACCTTGGCGTCCACCTTGCCCTCCTTGTCAGGCTTGCCGACGAGTTGCAAATTGTCATCCCCGCGTTGGAACCAGAACTGAGAGAGGTAAGGGCCGGCCTGCCGAGGGCACTCTTGAAGTCGCAGGCGAGAGTCGCCGCTGACATGGATGGCACCCAGGCATTTGGTGCCGTTTACACCATCCCCTGCAGGCTTGACGAGACCGTAGAATGAATTGACGGGACCCGTAAAGCCGGGCGCTGAGCACTCGTAGTGAGTAAAGTTTTGCGCAATGCGGTTCGCTTTGAGGAGCAAAGAGTCGCCCGCGGTGGACAGCGGCTTGTCAAAGTTGGCGCCTAGGGCGTGAAGAAGACCACCGGCAGAGAGGCCCTCATTGCAGACGACCTTGTTGTCGTAGCTTGGAGGCGCTGTGGGGGCCGCAAAGGCGAGAGGAGCCACGACGAGGGCGGCGGCGACTGCAAAAGAGGACTTCATTGCGGGGGTGGGTGTGGTGAGACGTGCAAAAGTGGCGAGGCGGTGCTGTAGAAGTGATGGGGGACGCACTCAAAACCCGTCTTTATGTACTTTTGTTGGGCGCCATCGATGGCTCGCATCGGCGTCTCTGCGGCTACGCACAGCCCTTGTCTGTCTCTCCTGCCCGCGCGGAGTCACGAGTGCACCGGACTCCTTCTCGTGTGGGGGGGGGCCGGCCAACGACGCATATCCGTTCAAGCATCCGTCGTGACGGTGTGAGAATGCTGATGGCGCCGGAAATGCACCGTCGGCATTTTATCACCATTGCGCGCGTGTGCGCACGAACCACGGAGTTGCGGCGTCGGCGCGCACATGTTGCGCCCAAGATGAGTTGCCGGCGGGTCATGCATGCATGCATGCATGCGCTGAAAGCTTTCAAGGAGGTTTCAAGTCATGCGATTTGATTCGAGATTCGAGATTCGCAGCAAAGTCACGTGCATTGTGGAGCAAAGTCGCGGGCATCGGGCGCAAATCGCACCTGCGCTCCGGGCGTGCACGGGCGCACTGACGCACGAGCGGATCTGATAGCATCTACAACAAGGGAAAGCAAGGCGTGGTGGAGAAAGAGAAGGAGGAAAACGTCGCGCTCTCGTGCTCGCGCTAGCGAGCGTGAGGCTCAGAAGTCCAAGTCTCATAGGGGGAATCGTAGCCAGCACGTGTAGGTGGGGTATGGGTGGGGTGGGCAGTCGGAGGAGGGTGCGATTCCAACGCCGGTGGCCCATCTTTAGACATGTGCCAATCTGTTGGCGGAACAAAGCCGTGTCGGCTGCTGGTGTCGAAGCTGCCATTATCTGGCTGAGCAGATCCGCTCAGCGAAAACGTCGACCGCGGCTTGTGCTCTGCTCTCGACGTCGATTCGTGCAATTCAAGAATGTGCTCGGTTCCCGATGCTGCGTACGGGTTAGCCTGACCGCGTGGTACGGCGATGCGGGCAGCACGGTGCCCGCCGCCGCCGCCGGCGACAGCGCCACCCGCATCGCTTCGAGAGCTCTTCTCCGTGCTTCGCTCGGCGGTGCTGAACATGTCTTTGCTTTCGCCCAGTCGCGCTTCGATCGAGTTGTACACCAGGCGAGAGGCAAAGATGACGCTCAATGCAAAGTAGATGGGTATGGGAATCGACTGGGCGTGGGCACAGCAAAAACGTTGGCAGAGGTCA